TTTTACCAGATAACACACCTATGCAAAGGGATTACTAATTAATAAAAGGAGAGTTGGCGACAAGGGTTAAAAATGGTGAATCAAACATTTATAAAATTTTCAAAAAGTATTCCTTTCATAGCAAAAAAGCAAGAAAATAATTTACCATCTAGTACAAAAAACTAAATTTAAAAATTGCAGGTAAATGTTAGATCTCTCAACTCAAATTTGTCACTTTAATTGTTTAAGATTTTGATTTCTTTGTTTAAGTGAAACATGGCTAACATCTCAATCACCCAGTGATAACATTCAAATAAATGGATATACCCTGAACCCTGCTGATAGAATTACCCGAGGAGGTGGTGTAGGAATATAGGTAGTTAAAAAATGGTTTAAATGATTTAAAATATTTTAGAAAAAAAGAGGGTTTATTCGAAGTAGAGCAGCTTTGGCTTATATTAAGCAACAAATAAAACGAAATTGGACTAGGCGTTGTATATCGAGCCCCAAAGGTAATGTCAACAGCCTACAGGATCTCTCAACTCAAATTTATCACTTTAATTGTGGATATAGGATGGTGACGTTCTTGAAGATTTGTGTGTGCAAGTGGATTGTTTGGTGTTGACAGGTGACTTACTTAAATGTTAATTTAAAAAAAATTTAATGAAACCAAATTGCAAATTTTAATAATTAATTTATAGTTCAAATAGGTAACTCTACAACTATTTAGAATCACAAGTAACACTGAGACTTTAATAGATATAATTTGTGTAAGTAAGCAACTATAGTGTATAAAAAATGTGAATCTTTGGATATGTTTAATATCACTGGCCATTTGTGTGTTTGTTGAAATTGTGGGAGAAAAACCAACCAAAAATGTAACTTCCTACTCTTACAGGGATTTCTCTAATATATATTAATATAAATGATCTTGCTTTTGATGCAGTAAGAGCTAGGTAATTGGAATGCTATTGAGACCGAAAAAATACAAATTTTTAATTTTAATATTATGTCCCTTTTCAATAAACACGCTCCACTTATCACTGTAAGATCTAATAAGACATCCTTACCAAATATTAGGCAAATGATAAAAACTAAAAACAAAGCTCTTAAAAGATATTAAAAAACTAAAATACTTTTACACAAATTATTCTATGTATATTGAAATACGAAATTATGTAAGAAAAAATAAAAAGATAGTGGTTTAAGGTTTGGAAACAATTAAATAATATTGGAGTAAAAAATAAAGTTAAACATAAAAAACTTGATAGTCTTCAATGTCCTGATTTACTTAACAAATACTATATTGAGGTTGCTGGTGTTACCATAATTAATTAAAATACTTGATAAAAAATAAATACATTTTTTTATAGAAATAGAAGTTTTCTGACGGCATATCCTTTAGTTTTTGTGAAGAGGATGACTTTATTTTTAAAATAGTTAAAACCATTAAATCTAATGCCTTTGGAGTGGATAACATTAATATAAAAATGCTCACATTAATACTGCCATATTGCATAGACTTTTTAAGGAAATAATTACCTTTTCCTTTAATAATATATTTATATAATGTTTTTCCACATCAGTGGAAAAGTGCTTTGGTTTTACCGATTTAAAAAATTGCAAATCCTACGGATTTTAATATTAGCATATTACCTTGTTTACCTAAAGTAATGGAAAAATAGATTGTTTACAGTTAATAACTTATTTAGAAGAACATACAATTTTACCTACTATACAGTCTGGGTATCGCAAAAACCAAATCACAAATACTGCGTTATTAAAAGTTGTCTTAGATTTAAGTTAAATTGTCTATAATGGTAAAGTTGTAGTTTTAGCCTTACTAGATCAAAGTAAAGTCTTTGATTTGGTTAATCATGAGCTTATGATATCCAAGCTTAAATACATATTGGAATGGATAACGCTGCCTTAACGTGGGTTTCCCAATATTTTTCTCGCAGAAAGCAACAAGTGAAAATAAACAATAGTATTTCCATAGATTTAGAATTTAAAAGTGGAGTTATACAGGAAAGCGTCCAGTGTTGTTCTCAATTTTTAGCTTGGATATCTTAAAATGTTTTAAAAAATGTTTAATACATCTATATGCTGATGACGTGCAGGTTTATTTTAACTGTAAACAAGTAAATTAACTGTAACAAATATGAACCAAAAATTAAATATTTTTTCAACTTGGTGTAGAGATAATGGTCTTATAATCAGTCCCAACAAATCCGTAGCATTGCTAGGAAAAAAATGAGAAAATATCTGGAACTTAAAAATTTTAATTTGACAGTAAATGATCAAAAAATTAATTGGGTAGATCATGCAAAAAACCTTGGATTAACTATTGACAGTATGTTAAATTTTAATTTCCAAATTAGTATACAAATTTTCATTTTTTAAACTTAAATTATTAAATAGTCTAAAATATGTGCTTGATAAGAAAACAAAATTAATGCTAGTCAAATCGCTTGTTTATCCTAAAATAAATTACTGTAGCTCTGTTTATTACTATAACTTAACCATGTATAACAGGCAAAAGCTTCAGTTTATTCAGAATGCTTGCATTATACTGTCAAAATAACTTTTTTTTTTCGATTATCTAAAAAGTTTCTTTAATATGAAAAAAAATCTCCTAAAGTTTGAGCTCATTATCTCTAAAATTGAGCTGGCGCAAAGGGGGCTCCCCTTTCCCATTTAAAATAAATGGGATTTTTTTTAGTTTAGAATAACTACATGAATTTTTTTTTTAATTTTGTTTCTCACTACCTTATAGAAAATTTAGTTCTCTACAAAATTGTCCCTATGCATTTTTTCTCTAAACTCATCAGAAACAAAGTTACATAGCAACTTTATCGACTGTAATATTCGATTTTTATTTTTTCCCTCCTATTCTGATAAGTTTAGAACAAAAATGCATAGGGACAATTTCGTAGAGAACTAAATTTCCTATAAGGTAGTGATAAACAAAATTAAAAAAAAATGTAGTTTGATGTAGTTATTCTAAAAATAAAAAAAATTACCATGTATTTTAAATGGGAAAGGGGACCCCCCTTTGCGCCAGCTCAATTTTAGAGATATTGAGCTTATTTTAAATAGACTAAATCAAATTAATGTATTTCAAATGACAAATTTCTTATTTTCAACTTTTTTGCATAAACTCATAAGAACGAAACAACCTGTATGTTTATTTACTTAATTTATTAAAACTGCGTAAGTTTACTTCATATGGTAAACATTCGAACAAAAAATTATATTATACCTCAGCATTTAACAAGTAAATTTAAATGTTGTTTTGAATATTGTTCAACAGTTAAAGTTTTATTTGAATTTTTAATTTTTGTGAAAATAGATTTAGGGAAAAGTGCAAAATTAAATTATTATAGCCTATATATAAATTACAGGAAATGTTATTGTTTATTTTTTTTGTAATTGTTTTACTACTATCGCTTAACTTATTTGTTTTTTTATATCCTGAGAGAGTGGAACTCCAATTTTGTATACAATTTATGTAAATTATTGTACACATATTATTATTTAGGTATAAAAAATGTCTAGGATATGTGGGGGGAATCAGTATGTCCACAAAAATGACCGTCACTAAGCAACCCCTGGAGCTGTAGCCACCCCAACTCAATTTTTTTAATGGCAACGCCCTCTGTGATACCTCATGGGAAAGCTCTTGAAAATTGCTATTTAATAGTAGTAAAAAATACTTTTTAAAACTTTAATTTCTCGTTATAAATATTAAGTTAAACCATGAAATAACAAATTAAACAATTTTGTTGTCATAAAAAAAAACTGGAGAACTCAAAATAATTCCAACAAAAGTTATTATACTAAAAAGCATAAATAAACAAAATGTTCAACATTAATCAAAACTTTAATTTTCAGCTTTTTAAATTAAATGCAGAAAATAACTCCCATGAGTAACTTTTTTTATTTTAAAATTTTTGTAGCGAAATATATTGGCATTATTGAATAATTTAAACTCAATGAAATGGGTATATTTTTGGTGAATTTTTTATTTCAGATTTAAAAAAACTTACAAAAAAATACTGCTATTCATGCTAATTAGTTTTAATATCTTAAATAGATAATATTGTTTATTATCCTAAATGGTTTACACAACGGTTAAACGTGTTGATTTTATTTTAACTGACAAAGATGTGCAACATAAATATGTTCTAGAACTGGTTGCATAATTTGAACAAACGGGATCTGTTTTCAATCGTAAAGGAAACAAACCTAGGATACTCAATGATGCCACCCATATTGAGGTTCTTGCTGTTTGGTTTAGATCCCTCAATATCACTCCGTTCGGCATCTGGATTAGCAGGGCTTTGCTCTGAGTCTGTTGGGAAGGTGTTAAAATATCACAAATTTCACCCATTCTAAATGCATTTTACACAAGAACTCGGCGATGATGGTGCAGACAGGCGTTTAGTATTTTGTAAAATCATGACCAATAAAATAACGAATCAGATTCAAATAGTTAAAAAAACATTTGCTTCAGCGATAATGTACTTTTTATCTAAATGGAAATGTTAACAAACAAAATTGTCGCTATTGGAGCAATGAAAACCCTCATCTCATCAGAAAAAGTATCATAGTATCCTGAAAAACTTAATGTCTGGGCAGGAATTTTTTGAGATTGTTTATTGGTCCCTTACATATTGACCAAAATTTATATGTTCAAATTTATTTTAGAATGCTAGATGAAACAATACAGCCACTAATATTAAATAAACTAGAGGAGAGGAAGATGAACTATTTAAGAAAATTAAATATATAATATTTAAGAATGTCAAAATTACTTAAAAATCTTAATGCATATTTAAAAAATGTAAACAAGGTTAAATGTAATATAAAAATAACAACAGGGTCAGGGTCTTGTAGAGCCCAAACTAAACAACTTTATACTGGTGTAGGTTTATTTTGTTCCAAGTATTATGTGGAAGGTAGACTGTATTTTAAGATGATACAAAATATAGGAAAAAAATGTTTTTATGTTCGCATACCTTGTCGACTTGGAAGAGTGTTTCGAAGATGCCCGAGGTAAGGACGCGGCACCTGAGTATATCCTGCTCGGTGGGCGTGTAATCGGGCCGCTTGACTACATCGACCTGGTCGAGGAAGTACTTGGCGCAGTCGATCAGCTGGTACTCGTTGCTGCGGTCGAAGGTCTGCTGCACGCCTCTGTCCTTCCACAGCGCCTCCGTATGCTCGTAGAACTCGGCCGGGTAGTCAAAGTCTGGCCCCGTGGCGCAGTCCTGGATCCAGTCGACCCGCGCCTGGTTCTCAGACTTTTCCAGCGCCACGGGCGGCGACAACGTCGACATCGCCCCTGTTATCGTCTGCACGATACAAACAAAAATGATCAGGGTCCAAGCTTGGAATTTTTGACAAATATGGGGTTAGACAAAATCCACACAACAAGGTTTTTCTATCTCTAAGTTAGGCATCCCACTGCACATACTTTAACGGCGGCCATTTTTTTGTTGTTTACAATTCTTTTGCTTTGGGTTTGTGCTGTTTGTACAGATTAAAAATCGTTTCTTACAGAGGCACTTGCAAGCCCAAAATGAGGCCTTAAGGTGCCAATTAATCTGTATAAAGAAACTGCACAAACCTGAAGCACAATAATTGTAAACAACATAAAAATGGCCGCTGTTAAAGTCTGTGCAGTGAGTTGCCCAACTTCGTAATTTTTAGTATGCGCGAACGAGGTAGAACAGACTTTGTTATGTGAATTGTGGGGTTAGATAAAAAAGTGTGGAATAAATCGAGTACTTAAATATACAACTGGGTCTTCTATTTCACCCTCTTTTAGAAATGAGTAATACTTAATAATTTAAATAAAAAATTTCAATGAAAGAGTGCATGCTTTCACATTAAAATCAAATCAATACAGCAGCCATCAATTTCATGATCATACATAACGCGTGCTGTAATTGATAACTAAGTTGGCCAATTGTGGTATATATTCTTTGAAATTAAAATTAAAACAATAGAGCCAGTCAATAATTTTATGATCATAAATGACCGGCAATTGATAAATAAATTTGCCTGAAACAATTTTATCTAATAGCGGCCTATTCGCTTGGTTTTGCCAGATCTAGGGAATTGATCATGTTAACTTAGGCGATATCTACAAATTTGAGTTTGTCAAAAGTCGAAAACCTTAAGTCAGCTATAAATCTGCTATGGCCTTTTAGTTTTGAAACTTAATAACCATTTGATATAATAATCATTAAAGTCACCCATGCTATTGCCCCTTCCCGCACTGTCAAAACTCGGTCATTATTTAAACTAAGAAGATTATATTTAGAAGCTTTAACTCCACATATGCGAAAATATAGGAAAAGCGTCGCTCGGAAGGAGCGGTGTACAATGCGCAAAAAGCCAGCGCGCATAGACCGTCGACTCACGTGACTAAATGCACGTTTGGTTTTTAAACTTGGTAACCTGCGCACAACCCTAATTTTGCGTTCCCGGTCATTGTACAGTGTACAATGTACACGTACGACATTCCTTAATTTTTATATTGAGTTGAAGGTCCTGAATATAATCTTCTTAGTAAATATATTATAGTTGAAATTGTGCTTTTGTGTGTTGGAGTTTGGAAAAAACCAATATGAATATGAAAGTGGAAGGTATAAATAAATAACCTAGTATTTTATTAATTTGTAGTTTACATATTGTACATGTACATTTTTATATTTTATTATTATTAATGTTCTTTCAACAGGCACCAGGCCCTATTACAGGAGTACACACTGACAAACACAAATAAACATCCATACCTGGTGGGATTCGAACCCACGACCTCTCGGCTTGTAGTCCGCAGTCAAAATCAAAATCAATTTATTTTTCAATTAAATAATTACAAAATATAAAAAGAGTAAATAAGTACAGCCGCAATGTGGTGATGGGGTTGGCTGTAAAGAGGCGCGTGGAAGTGTGGTTCCACCTCTTAAGCCTCCCCGCGGTGGAGATGCGTGGTACGGGTGGTAGAAGCACAATCTCCCGACGGTCTTTGTCCCTTGTACGAAGCTCTTTTTATTGACATGGAGCTTATCTGGCCTTTTCTCGCAGAGCGAATGTGTGAAGAAAGAGACCAGCAGCACCATGGGTTTGGTACTACGGTTGGATTTGAAGGGGATGTTGAAATTCTGGTTGGAGATGTCTTGAAGGTCGAGAACCCTAAAGCCCTAAATCATCAGACATCTTCCACGTCCGCAGTGCTGACTACTACACCACCGAGGGCGGTTAAATATTGCACATATAGATTATGTATACGAGATAAAAAATATGAACTGTAAAAATGTAAATTATTTGTTTGAAGTACTTTGTTTTTCTTAAATAGGCCAGTAAAAGCGTATGTTGACTTTAATACCGGTTGAAATTTTATTTTTTGTAATCAAAAGAGCATACATTGAATAGGTAGTATATATTCTGATTTTCTAATTAATCCGACCAGCCTTTGCTCCGCCTTGGTCCTTCATCTAAAAAAAAACCCAAACTTTTTATTTTAACTTAATCGCACAGAAAAGACTGTCAATTTTAAAAGCTACTTTTTTTATAAAACCTACCTATTTTGCTCACCGATGCGCTTCTTCCTTCTTACTCCTTTTAAAATGTTTTTTTAGAAAATTATTTCTTAAAAATTGATAGCTCTAAAAATTTTCTACAAATTAACTATTTAACTTAATTAAATGGTCCAGGGTGCGTCGAGCGCAATATCCCGCAGCTTACATTTACGTGTTTTTATTTAATTACGCAATAATGCAACAAAAAGTAAGTAAATTAAAACATTTTAATAGCTATTAAATTTTGTTTTTAAGGCCGAAAATATTATAAAAAAGAAAACGTCGAAATGTTGTCGAGCCTTTTGAGCGTTGCGAAAATGGAGGATTTATGGGAAAAGCAGACGACTGAACTATATCTATATCTGATTTATTTTGCATGCGGTGAAAAAGTCGGCTTTAAATGCGAAATTTGTCTTTACACCAACCCTCCTACACCAACATGTAAAGGGTGGGCCATTTATTGGCTATAAAATTAGTCTAAACCAATATTTTAAGAACATTTTTTTTATTGTGAACGTTGGAGTCTCCAATTTAAGAATGAAAAACAATTTCGTTCATGTGACTTTCTCTGCTGGCCTATAGTAAGCCAATTTTAAAGCACTTTTTCCAGGATTTCGCGCCTATATCGCCAATAACAGTCTCAATGTTATGTTTTAAAGCTGGATTTGTCTCTGGATTGTCCGCATAACATCGGTCCTTAACAAAACCCCACAGAAAAAAATCTAACGGCATCAAATCACAACTCCGTGCATGCCAATTGACATCTCCAAAACGGCTGATTATTCGGTTGTTAAATTTGGTGCGCAAGAGATCGATTGTCAGTCGGCTTGTATGGCATGTGGCCCCATCTTGTTGAAACCAAAGATCGTCTACATTCATGGCGTCGATTTAAGACCATAAAAAGTTGGTCAACATGGCTCTGTAACAGTCGTTATTCACGGTAACGGCGTTTCCAGCAGTATTTTCGAAGAAAAATGGGCCAATTATGCCACCACTCTAAAATCCACACCACCAACTGTCACTCTTGGTGGATGCATTGGACTCTCTACGATTACGTGTGGCTATTCCGTACCCCAAATCCAGCAGTTCTGCTTGTTTACATAGCCCCCGAGATGGAAATGAGCTTTGTCTGAAAAAATGATTTTTCGACCATAATTGACGTCATTGTTGAACTGGTCTGTGGCCCACACAGCGAACTGATATGGAAGCAGATGGTCATTTGCTTTCAACTCCTGAGTCATCTGGACCTTGTAGGCGAATAATCCTAGGTCTTTGTGCAGTATTCTCCTCAGACTAATGGCCAGTTGCTGCGATCAGCGTCGAGTTGAGAAAGATGGATTTTGTACCACACTACGGGACACAGCCTCAATATTCTCAGCCGTACGCACTGTCCGAGCTCAGGGACCTTTTCTGTTATCTAATAACAAGCATGTCTCATGAATTTTCTTCACCAATTTCACTACAGCAGTTCCGCTTGGCGCTCTTTCACGACCCATAATTATTTTCAAAATTTGCTCGCTTTCGGCCACACAACACTGACTATTTCGAAACGCTCCTCAAGCGAAAACATGATTGTTTCGTGCCGCGGAATGTCAGAATGACAAGCTGTCAAAATTTAAAACAAATCGGTGCATCGAGTGTTGCCATGGGCAATGTTTTAAAAACAAACCAATTAATGGCCCACCCTTTACAAACTTTGTATAAAAAAACTTCCTCATGACTTATAACTTAAATTGAGGTGGACATGAACAAGGTATAATGGAGAGGGCGCTTGAGGAGTTAGGATAGGGAATATATCAGATAAGGGGGCATCCATTAATTATGTGAGACATTTTTCTCATAATTTGGACCCCCCTTCCCCTTGGTGAGATTTGATGAGATTTGGTAGATCCCCCCTAACCCTCACGAGAGATTTTAGTCATTAAACTTTCTTTGAAACATGTAAAAAAATGATTAATTTTTGTTTATAAATTTGGATAATTATTATTACCTACTTATACATATTTTTTAAACTCAAAAGTTGACGTGAGATTTTAAATGACTCTCCTCCATTAAAATGAGATTTGGTGAGATTTTGCTGGACCCCTCCCCCCATTTTTGTCTCACGTAATTAATGGATGTTCCCTAATGTTATCATAGAGCATAGAAAATTACAAATCCAAAAAATGTCTCTTGTATGGTAGGGGTCAATGGGACCTAGGGGAAATCACTATAAAGGATTCTTGTCGACATAGAAAAGCTTCAAATTTAATATATCTTTGAAAAAGTGGTGCTTTAATTTTGCAGATAAGTTATATATATATATATATATATATATATGAGGCATTCCATGTCAACTTGGCCACCCCCTCCTGTGCAAAATTGACTAAAGTTTTTCGAAACGTGCAAGTGATGAATTTTTAGCTTATCGTCTTAACTTTTAAATGCCGAGTGGTATTTTGTAAAATTTCAAAATGGCGATGTCAATATAGCGACTGCAAGCAATAGACATCACTTTAAAAAATCCGTAATACGTAGTTTACATTAACTTACAACTTTATAAAATAAAAAATTGAATTTTATTTAATGCATTTATCAGTGATTCTATGTATTTTTTACCGCTGATTACACAATGGTTCGCCCCTAACCTCAAAAAAAAAAACGTAAAACATAATGTCTAGAGTCCCCATTGCGCTCCCGTTAAAATTTTGTGACCTCACACACTGTAAATAGGTATTATTTTTCGAGCGATAGGATTATTACAATAAGCTAGGTAGCTCGATGGA